TTGGCCTGCGGGGTGTGGGAGGAGGGCTGGGGTGGGGGCAGGTGGTGGCAATGCCTGGGGCTGATTCCTTGTGAGCCCATTGCCCTCATTTTTCTTTGGAGATACAATGGTGACCAGTAATACCTGCAGTAACGCTGGTGGAGCTCTCACTGTATGCCCTGACTCTGTTCCAGCTGTTCATCTTCAACAACAGCCTTGGAGTGGGCAAGGTTATCTCAAAATTATTTATTATTTATTATTTATTTTATTTTTATTTTTATTTTATTTATTATTGTTATTTTTTGAGACGGAGTTTCGCTCTTGTTGCCCAGGCTGGAGTGCAATGGCGCAATCTTGGCTCACTGCAACCTCCGCCTCCTGGGTTCAGGCAATTCTCCTGCCTCAGCCTCCTGAGTAGCTGGGATTACAGGCACACGCCACCATGCCCAGCTAATTTTTTTTTTTTTTTTTTTTTTTGAGACGGAGTTTCGCTCTTGTTACCCAGGCTGGAGTGCAATGGCGTGATCTCGGCTCACCGCAACCTCCGCCTCCTGGGCTCAGGCAATTCTCCTGCCTCAGCCTCCTAAGTAGCTGGGATTACAGGCACGTGCCACCATGCCCAGCTATTTTTTGTATTTTTAGTAGAGACGGGGTTTCACCATGTTGACCAGGATGGTCTCGATCTCTTGACCTCGTGATCCACCCGCCTCGGCCTCCCAAAGTACTGGGATTACAGGCGTGAGCCACCGTGCCCCGCTTTTTTATTTTTTGATACGGAGTCCCACTTTGCCGCCCAGGTTGGAGTGCAGTGGCTCGATCTTGGCTCACTACAACTTCCACCTGCTGGGTTCAAGTGATTCTCCTGCCTCAGCCACCGGAGTAGCTGAGATTACAGGCATGAGGCACCATGCCCAGCTAATTTCTGTATTTTTAGTAGAGTCAGGGTTTCACCATGTTGGGCAGGTTGGTCTTGAACTCCTTACCTCAGGTGATCTGACCACCTCGGCCTTCCAAAGTGCTTGGACTACAGGCGCGAACCACTGCACCTGACCTATTATCTCAGTTTTACAGGTAAGTCCACTGAGGCTCAGAATGGGCATCACTTGCCTACCTCCAGACCTTGAGTCCTGTCTCATTCCTGTAATGCCAGCACTTTGGGAGGCCGAGGCGGGAGGACTGCTTGAGCCCAGGAGTTCAAGGTCAGCCTGGGTAACATGGTGAGACCTTGTCTCTACAAAGAATTTAAAAAAGTAGCCAGGTGCAGTGGCAGTACCAGCTACTCAGGAGGCTGGGGCAGGAGGATTGCTTGAGCTTGGAAAGTTGAGGCTGGAGGGAGCTGTGATCACAGCACTGCATTCCAGCCTGGTGACAGAGTGAGGCACTGTCTCAGAAAAGAAAGAAAAAAGAGTATGAGCCCTTAACCTTCAGGAATCTGGGCAGAGGGACAGATAGTGGCCCTGCTTTCATGGAGCGGAGGCTCTAGGTCAGAGATATACATTAGGGCAGATGAATAAATAAATGAACAAAGTGGCTAGGTGTGGTGGCTCATGCCTGTAATCCCAGCACTTTGGGAGGTGGAGGTGGGCATGGTTTACCTGAGGTCAGCAGCTGGAGACCCGCCTGGCTAATATGGTGAAACCCGGTCTCTACTAAAAACACAAAAAATTAGCCAAGCGTGGTGGCGCATGCCTGTAATCCCAGCTACTCAGGAAGCTGAGGCAGGAGAATTGCTTGAACCTGGGAGGCAGGGAGATTTCAGGGGCAGAGGAGTTTGCAGTGAGCCCAAATAATTCCACTGCACTCCAGCCTGGGCAATAGAGCAAGACTCTTGTCTCAAAAAAAAAAAAAAAAAAAAAAAAAAGACCAGGTGTGGTGGGTCATGCCGGTAATCCCAGCACTTTGGGAGGCCAAGGCAGGAGGATCATGAGATCAGAAGATGGAGACCATCCTGGCTAATACAGCAACCCCCTCTCTACTAAAAATACAAAAAAAAAAAAAAAAAAAAAAAAATAGCCAGGCATGGTGGCACATGCCTTCTGGTACCAGCTACTCAGGAGGCTGAGGCATGAGAATCATTTGAACCTGGGATGTGGAGGCTGCAGTGAGCCAAGATTGTGCCATTCACTCCAGCCTGGGCGACAAGAGTGAAACTCCATCTCAAAAAAACAAAAAGAACAAGGTGATTACAGATAATGCCAACTGCCATTTCAGATGAGGGGCAGATCACCAAAGGCCTCTCTGAGGAGGTGACCAGGTGACCAGCTGACTAGCTGGGAGGGGGTGGGGAGAAGGGTGCCCCAGGCCACCTGGCCCCCAAGTTCAAAGGTCTTTTTTTCTTTATTTTTTTTATTTTAAATTAGAAAAAAAATTTTTTTTTAGAGATCTGGCTATATTGCCCAGCCTGGAGTGCAGTGACTATTCACAGGCTCGATCCCAGTACTGATCAGCATGGGAGTTTTGACCACTTTGTTTCCGACCTGGGCAGGTTCATCCCTCCTTAGGCAACCTGGTGGTCTCCCGCTCCCAGGAGGTCACCATATTGATGCCGAACTTAGTGCAGACACCCAATTGGCATAGCGCACTACAGCCCAGAACTCCTGGCTTCAAGTGATCAACCTCAGCCTCCCGAGTACGGGCATGCGCCTCCACACCCAACTCAAAGGTCTTGAAGTGTCTGTGCACCTCGGAGGAGACCAGCGGCCAGAAGCAGAATGGAGCAGAGAGAGACACAGAAGTAACAGCAACAGACAGATCGGGACTGCATATGGCCTTATCCTTGGGGTGGGGAGGTCCTCGCTGAGGACTTGATTACTTACTCAGAGACACAGGGAACCTTGGGAGGGTTGGAGAGAAAACGTGATCTGAGTTTTAAGGATGGTGGCCAGCCAGCTGTGGTGGCTTATGCCTGTAATCCCGGCGCTTTGGGAGGCCGAGGCAGGTGGATCACTAAGTGAGGAGATGGAGACCATCATGCTTAACAAGGTGAAACCCCGTCTCTACTAAAAATACAAACAATTAGCCAGCTGTGATAGTGGGCACCGGTAGTCCCAGCTACTCACGAGGCTGAGGCAGGAGAATCACTTGAACCCAGGAGGCAGAGGTTGCAGTGAGCTGAGATCATGCCACTGCACTCCAGCCTGGGCCACAAAGTGAGACTCCATCTCAAAAACAAAACAAACAAACAAAAAACAACAAAAGAACCATGGTCAGGAGTGTGGAGTGAGAGTTAGGGATGGGACTCCCGACATCTGTCCAGATCCTGGTGCCTGAGTCCCCAGGGTCCCAATTCGTGGGAAAGAAGTGCAGGGAGGGCGGGTTGCTGGGCCGGGGACCCGCAGCGGAAGAGTTCCATTTCGTGAGAGGTGAGATTGGCGCCTGGGAGGTGTGAAGGGGCCACCTTCCCACTCTGGGGCGTGGCTTCCCCTTTACAGAAGGAGGTCATTTATTGAGTGCCTACTGGGTGCCAAGCGCAGCCATGTTGGGAGATCTTCATGGCTCATCCCAGCAGGTACCATTGGAGTGGACTTAATCCACAGTACTGTGGCAGACCTGGCACTGAAGGGTTAACACCATCCCACACTGCGGGTCCCGTTGGCTGTGTCTTTGAGCAGAGTAGGAAAGAAAGGTTCTGCCCACCCAGGGAACAGCAGGGGCAGGAGGGCTGGGACCCCCAAGGGGCTACATGGGGGCGTGACCCAGCCTGAGCATCCTGGAGTTTCCTCCCATGAGGGCACCCCCGATCCACGCTTATTCTCAGCCTCTGGCTCATCTCTTCTGGGGCACTGTCACCCCACCCGCGGCCAGCAGGGCCTGAAGCATCAGGGGCAAAGGGCACGGTCCTGGAGAAGGTTGCAGCAGTGGGACCCAGACCCCCCTTCCTGAGTCTGAGGGTGGAAGAGCTGAGACCATCGGGAAGCTCCTGGGAAGTGGGGGTGGAGGCCTCTTGGGGTCAGCAGGACGGGTGGGTTGGAGGAGCAGTGGCTGGGAGAGGCGTGGGAGAGTAACACAGACAGCAACAAAGAGACATGCAGAGACAAAGAGATACACAGGCAAGAGACTAAGATCCTCCTGAGAGAGACACAGAGGACATGAAGGAGACACTCATTCTTTCCTTCATTCATTCATGCAGCAGTTACTGGGCACTGGCTGTGTCCTGGCAGTGCCCACGATAGACTCAAATCCCTACCCCAATGGACGGGCTGCGGTGGCTCACACCTGTAATCCCAGCACTTTAGGAGGTCGAAGTGGGAAGATCGCTTGAGTTCAGGAGTTCAAGCAGCCTGGGCAACATAGCAAGACCCTGTCTCTATTTTTAAAAAATTATCTGGACATGGTGGCAAGCGACTGGAGTCCCGGCAGCTATGTTCAGGGGGCTGAGATGGGAGGATGGCTTGAGCCCAGCTGGTCGCAGCCGCAGTGAGTTATGATGGTGCCACTGCTCTCCACTCTGGGCGACTGAGTGAGATCCTGTCTGGGACCAAAAAAAAAAAAAAAAAAAAAACAAAAAACACTTACATCAGTGGGGTTTACTGTTACTGACACAGTCCAGAAACACCGTTAATGAGTAAATCACTTCGTCCTCAGCGATAAGGGTGGGAGAGAACCGGTCGGGGGAAGGCGGAATCCAGGGGGTGGGACTGGACAGACCCTCCTTATCTAAGGAGCTGCAACTTCCCAGAACAATCCTGCCCGCCCCTGTCTCACCCCGACTCGCCCTGAGCCGGGGGCGGGAGCGGGAAATTGGGAGGGACCCGTGCCCGGGAGCAGCAGGGACCTATCTGCCGGTGGGATCAGACTCAGGGATCAGACTCAGGCAAAGGTGGCCCCTGTTAAAAACTCCTGCTAAGCAAGCACTAAAGACTCCTCCGAACCATAGACGGGGCGTCCTTGGGGCGCAGCCCAGGAAGCTCAGTTCACAGGTGCGTGGGCAATGGGGAGGGCGCAGTGCCTGGACACCCAGGACAGAGAAGACCCCACCGCTGGGGAGAAGAGGCTCAGGCTGCGACCGTCCTGCCGCAGAACCCTCCCTTTCCCGCCTCCTCTCCGAGTCCTCCCATCGCGACGGAGCGTCCCTGGGAGGGGGCAGCCCAGGCCCAGAGCAGGGAGCTGAGGGCTCGCCCGTGCCAGTCGCCGCCGGGGCGCGTTCCGGTGCCGCGGCGGATGGCACAGGCTGGCAGCCACAGGCTGAGTGCCCGGGACCCGAGGGGAGGGGGCAACTGCTGGCGACCGCCGGCCCTTTGCGTCGCTGGCCCGCCCCTCGCCTGCCCCGGCGAGGCTCCAGCCCCGCCCCCGGAGCGGCTTCGGTTCACTCAGCTCAAGGCAGCGCGACTTCGGGGGGCGCACGACCAGGGCGCAGGGTGAGTGGAGCGCACTGGACCCTTGGGGGAGCAGGGCTCGGCCTGATCCGGAGGGGGTCGCCCTGGCGGCCACTTTCCCTGTCTAAAAAGGCGCACCGCCAGTCGCAGGGAGTTCCCTGATCTTTTTCTGGAGGCCTCTGGGGAGGGGGAAGCTGAGGACTCACCGGCTGGGTGCATGGCCTGGGATACGGGGTGAAGGTGGCTGGAATCACCCTGGCCTCACCCCCTCCTGGCTGGGCCACTGCAAGTTTCCACACTTCAGTCCTGTTGCCGGGCAGGCTGGGCCGATGGGGGTGGCCTCCCATCAGAGCATGTGTAAACCTTGTCTCCTTGAATTTGGGCTCCCCACCTCCAGCTTGGGTGAGCCAGAGACTTCCTGTCTGTCTATATTTGCCTGCCTTGGTTGTCTGTGTGTGCCTTGTGCAAAGAGAGGTCCATTCCCCTCCCTAGGCCTTGGTTTTCTCATCTGAACTTGCATGGGGACCATTTCTGCATGGGTGTTTGTGTGGGAGCGTGGAAACTTTTGTGCCTGCTTTGATACGAAGCATTTCTTTTGAGCCTCAGTTTTCTCACCTGTACATTGGGACTAAAGGAAGCGGGGATTGATAAGGGCACAGAGGTCAGGGTGCAGTCCCCCACGCCTGTAATCCCAGTACTTTGGGAGGCCAAGGCGGGCTGATCACCGGATAAAGAGATCGAGACCATCCTGGCCAACATGGTGAAACCCGTCTCTATTACAAAGACAAAAATTAGCTGGGCATGGTGGAGCATGCCTGTAGTCCCAGCTCCTTGGAAGGCTGAGGCAGGAGAATCGCTTGAACCTGGGACCCAAGGGTTGCAGTGAGCTGAGATCACGCCAGTGGCACTCCAGCCTGGTGACTGAGTGAGACTTCGTCTCAAAAAGATAAATAATTTAAAAAAGGACACAGAGGCAGGTGAGGAGTATTATTACACTTTAATGACACATGTGCCCCTCTGCAAAAGCCTGTCTGCCCCTTGTGGATTCTCTCTCCTCTCCTCGGGCTCTGCCTTAGTAAAATGAATGAATAGGATCAATTTTCCTTTTTTTGAGATGGAGTTTCATTCTTGTTGCCTGGGCTGGAGTGCAGGGGTGCGATCATGGCTCACTGCAGCATCTACCTCTCAGGCTCAAGTGATCCTTCCACCTCAGCCTCTTGAGTAGCTGGGATAAAGGCACATGTCACCACACCTGGCTAATTTTTAAATTTTTTGTAGAGATGGAGTCTTACTATGTTGCTCAGGCTGGTGTCAAACTCCTGGGCCCAAGTGATCATCCCAGCTCAGCCTCCCAAAGTGCTGGGATTACAGGAGAAAGCCACTGTGCCTGGCCAAGGAGCAACTTTCTCATGGGGTTTTTGGGTGGATGAGGGGGTTTTGGCATGAGAAAGCTTTGTGTGCAGTGAGACAAGAGTGTGGAGTTTGGGGTTGTGGGCCCCAGGCTAGTGTGAGTGGAGTTGTGAAACTGTGGCCTGTGCCACTGGGTGGGAGAGCCGGTATTCGTGTGACTGAAATTTTTTTTGTTGTTTTTTGAGACAGAGTCTTACTCTGTTGCCCAGGCTGGAGTGCAGTGGCGCGGTCTTGGCTCACTGAAACCTCTGCCTCCTGGTTCAAGCGATTCTCCTGCCTCAGCCTCCCGCGTAGCTGGGATTACAGGCATGCACCACCATGCCTGGCTAATTTTGTATTTTTAGTAGAGACGGGGTTTCTCCATGTTGGTCAGGCTAGTCTGGAACTCCCGACCTCAGGCGATCCACCCACCTCGGCCTCCCAAATTGCTGAGATTATACACTCCACACCCTATCATCCTATTTTTTATTTTTTAAAGACAGGGTCTTGCTCTGTTGCCCTGGCTGGAGTACAGTTGCACAGTCAAGGCTCACTGCAGCCCCTCTGGGGCTCAAGTGGTGCTCCCACCTCAGCCTCTGAGTAGCTGGGACTACAGGTGTACACCACCATGGGCGGCCAATTTTTGTATTTTTTTGTAGAAACAGGGTCCTCCTATGTTGCCCAGGCTAATCTCCAACTCCTGGGCCTCAAGCAATCCGCTGGCCTCTGCCTCCCAAAGTGCTGGGATTACAGGAGTAAGCTACCACACCCAGCTCTGTGTGTGTGTGTGTGTGTGTGTGTGTGTGTGTGTGTGTGTATTTGTTTGTTGAGACAGAATCTTGCTCTTTCACCCAGGCTGGAGTGCAGTGGTGCAATCTCAGCTCACTACAACCTTCCTCTCAAATGATTTTCTGCCTCAGCCTCCTGAGTAGCTGGGATTACTGGCATGCACTACCATGCCCAGCTAATTTTTGTGTTTTTAGTAGTGATGATGTTTTGCCATGTTGGCCACTGTGGTCTCCAACATCTGACCTTAGGTAATCCACCTTCCTCGGCCTCCCAAAGTGCTAGGATTACAGGCGTGGGCCACCCCGTCCAGCCATGAGTGTGTTATAGTGTCCCTTTTTTTTTCGAGACTGTATGTCACCTTTTCCCCTTGTGATATTATTTGTGTGTCCGTCTGTCTCCACGGACTCTATTCCTCCATCCTGAACTCCTGTTGGGCCCCATGTGTGGGGGGTGATGGTGAGGGAGTAGGACCCCTTTCCCACGGCTTAGCCGGCTGCCGAGACTGCTCACGGGGACGGCGGGCTAACACCGTGTCCTGCCTCTCCACAGCCTTGGGGCGCGCGGCCCATGGAGTCGGGGCTGCTGCGGCCGGCACCGGTGAGCGAGGTCATCGTCCTGCATTACAACTACACCGGCAAGCTCCGCGGTGCACGCTACCAGCCCGGGGCTGGCCTGCGCGCCGACGCCGTGGTGTGCCTGGCGGTGTGCGCCTTCATCGTGCTAGAGAATCTGGCTGTGCTGTTGGTGCTCGGACGCCACCCACGCTTCCACGCGCCCATGTTCCTGCTCCTGGGCAGCCTCACATTGTCGGATCTGCTGGCCGGCGCTGCCTACGCTGCCAACATCCTGCTGTCGGGGCCGCTCACACTGCGACTGTCGCCTGCGCTCTGGTTCGCGCGGGAAGGAGGCGTCTTCGTGGCACTCGCGGCATCCGTGCTGAGCCTCCTGGCCATCGCGCTAGAGCGTAGCCTCACCATGGCGCGCAGGGGGCCGGCACCCGCCGCCAGTCGGGGACGCACGCTGGCTATGGCAGCCACGGCCTGGGGCATGTCGCTGCTCCTCGGGCTCCTGCCGGCGCTGGGCTGGAACTGCCTGGGTCGCCTGGACGCCTGCTCCACAGTCCTGCCGCTCTACGCCAAGGCCTACGTGCTCTTCTGCGTGCTGGCCTTCGTGGGCATCCTGGGCGCGATCTGTGCGCTCTACGCGCGGATCTACTGCCAGGTGCGCGCTAACGCGCGGCGCCTGCGGGCCCGGCCCGGAACTGCCGGGGCCACCTCGACCCGGGCGCGTCGCACGCCGCGCTCGCTGGCCCTACTCCGCACGCTCAGCGTGGTGCTCCTGGCTTTTGTGGCGTGTTGGGGCCCCCTCTTCCTGCTGCTGTTGCTCGACGTGGCGTGTCCCGCGCGCGCCTGTCCTGTGCTCCTGCAGGCCGATCCCTTCCTGGGATTGGCTATGGCCAACTCACTTCTGAACCCCATCATCTACACTCTCACCAACCGCGACCTGCGTCACGCGCTCCTACGCCTAGTCTGCTGCGGCCGCCACCCCTGCGGCCGAGGCCCGGGTGGCTCCCGGCAGTCCGGGAGCGCGGCTGAGGCTTCCGGGGGCCTGCGCCGCTGCCTGCCCCCGGGCCTGGATGGGAGCTTCAGCCGCTCGGAGCGCTCGTCGCCTCAGCGCGACGGGCTGGACACCAGCGGCTCCACAGGCAGCCCCGGTGCGCCCACAGTCGCCTGGACCCTGGTACCAGAACCGGCTGCAGACTGACACCCGCGGCCCACGACTGTCCTCCCAAGTTTTACAGACTTTTTCTTTTTATATAAAGGAATGTGTAGGGAATGCAGCCGAAGGTGCAGTAGGAAAAGAGGCAGGGGAAATGTGTTGGTGGAGCGACACCCCGCAGCAGTGAACAGACAAACATCTGTGCCCTAGCGGAACTGACGCTCTGCTTGGGAACACAGAAAAGAACTCGGTGACGAGATAATGGAGATAATTCCAGTGACCACACCGAAATGGCGATGGTGGTCAGGGAAGGCCTCTCTGTAGCGCTGGTGACTTGTGATGTGAGCTGAGACCTCTGTCCTGGGAAGACCAAATGAAAAGGCATTTCTGAGCCGGGCGCGGTGGCTCACCCCTGTAATCCCAGCACTTTGGGAGGCTGAGGCGGGCAGATCACCTGAGGTAGGGAGTTAACCAGCAGGAGTTAGAGACCAGCCTGACCAACAAGGAGAAACCCTGTCTCTACTAAAAAGACATAAAATAAGCCAGGCGTGGTGGCGCATGCCTATAATCATAGCTACTCAGGAGGCTGAGGCAGGAGAATCCCTTGAACCCAGAAGGCAGAGGCTGCAGTAAGCAGAGATTCCGCCATTGCACACCAGCCTGGGCAACAAGAGAGAAACTCCGTTTAAAAAAAAAAGAAAGAGGCCGGGTGCGGTGGCTCAAGCCTGTAATCCCAGCACTTTGGGAGGCCGAGGTGGGTGGATCACGAGGTCAAGAGATCGAGACCATCCTGGTCAACATGGTGAAACCCTGTCTCTACTAAAAATACAAAAAATTGGGCCGGGCGCGGTGGCTCAAGCCTGTAATCCCAGCACTTTGGGAGGCCGAGGCGGGTGGATCACGAGGTCGAGAGATCGAGACCATCCTGGTCAACATGGTGAAACCCCGTCTCTACTAAAAATACAAAAAATTAGCTGGGCATGGTGGCTCGTGCCTGCAATCCCAGCTACTCAGGAGGCTGAGGCAGGAGAATTGCCTGAACCCAGGAGGCGGAGGTTGCCGTGAGCCGAGATCGCGCCATTGCACTCCAGCCTGGGTAACAAGAGTGAAACTCAGTCTCAAAAAAAAAAAAAAGAAAGAAAGAAAGAGAAAGCATTTCCGGAAGAGGGAATGGCATTCACAAAGGCCCTGAGGCTAAAATGCCCCATGTATTTTAAGAAATGCAGGGATGCCGGTGTGCCTGAGGCAGGGGTGGAGGGGAGAATGGGCGGAGACAAGGAGCTGAAGGAGTAGTTCCCAAAGGGCCTTGTGGGTGACACAGAGGACTTCCCTTTTGCTCTGAGTGAGGTGGGAGCCATAGAAGTTTCTAAGCAGAGGAGAGACTTGCGCTGATTCAGGTGATGAAAGGTGTCTTGTGGCCTCCATGGGAGGGTGGAAGCCAGAGAAGCTGAAGAGGGGCTGCAGTGAGCCACAGGAACAATGATGGAGATTCCAGTTATGCCTAGACCCCGAAGATGCCAGATAGATTTTAGAGGCAGCAGATAGAATTACTGAGGAATTCAGTGTAAGAGGGGGATAAAGCTGATAAGGACAATGCCAACCGTGGGACATCCCCAAATTTGACTCTGGGAGATTCAGCCAAATCCTATCTGGTAATAAAATTTCTTTTTTCTTTTTCTTTTCTTTCTTTTTTTTTTTTTGAGTCAAGGTCTTGTGCTCTGTCACCCATGCTGGAGTGCAATGGCACAATTATTGCCCACTGCAGCCTGGAACTCCTAGGATCAAGCCTGGAGTTCCTGCTTCAGCCTCCCTAGTAGCTGGGACTACAGGTGTGCACCACCATGCCCAGCTAATAAAATTTCTTCAAATGCAACAAAATTTCTTCAAATTTAGTAGAAATGGGGTTTTAGCATATTAGTTCATTTTTAAAAAAAGATAATAGGCTGGGCGAGGTGTCTCACGCCTGAAACCCCAGCACTTTGGGAGGCCGAGGTGAGTGGATCACCTGAGATCAGGAGTTTGAGACCAGCCTGGCCAACATGGTGAAACCCCATCTCTACTAAAAATACAAAAATTAGCCAGGTGTGATTGGGTCTCAGAAAAAAAAAAGATAACTATTAGGCCAGACACAGTGGCTCACACCTGTAATCCCAAAACTTTGGGAGGCTGAAGCAGGAGGATCGCCTGAGGCCGAGAGTTTGAGATCAGCCAGAGCAACATAGTTAGACCTCATTTCTACAAAAACTTTAAAATTTTAGGTAGGTAGTTGTGGTTATGCATGCCCATAGTCACAGCTGCTGGGGAGGCTGAGGGAGGAGGATTTCTGGAACCCAAGAGCTCAAGGCTGCAGTGACCTATTTTTGGATCACTGCACTCCAGCCTGGGTGACAAAGAGAAATCCTGTCTCAAGAAAACAAAATAAGAGGTTACTTGGTTTCTTTTTTATTCCTTGAGACAGAGCCTCACTTCTTCACCAAGGCTAGAGCACAGTGGCGTGATCTCAGCTCATTGCAACCTCTGCCTTCCCAGTTCAAGCGATTCTCCTGCCTCAGCCTTCCAAGTAGGTATGAGCCACCATGCCCGGCTAATTTTTGTATCTTTCATAGAGATGGGGTTTTACCATATTGGTCAGGCTGGTCTTCAACTCCTGACCTTGTGATCTGCCCACCTTGGCCTCCCAAAGTATTGGGATTACAGACATGAGCAACCCCACCCACCTCTTTTTTGGTTTCTTTTTGAGACAGGATGTTGCTCTGTTGCCCAGGCTGGAGTGCACTGGGATAATCGCGTCTCACTGCAGCCTTAAACACCTGGGCTCAAGTGATCCTCTTGCTTCAGTCCCCCCAGTAGCTGGGGCTACTGGTGCACCACACCAAACTAATGTTTTGAATTTTTTCCTAGAGATGATTTCTCACTATGTTGCTCAGGCTGGTCTCAAACTCCTGGGCTCAAGCAACCCGCCTTGGTCTCCGAAAGTGCTGGGATACAGGCCAGGCATGGTGGCTCACCCCTGTAATCCCAGCACTTTGGGAGGCCAAGGCAGGCAGATCTCTAGAGCTCAGGCGTTTGAGACCAGTTGGGCCAACATGGTGAAACTCTGCCTCTACTTAAGAAAATTAAGGCTGGGAGCGGTGGCTCAAGCCTGTAATCCCAGCACTTTGGGAGGCCGAGGCGGGTGGATCACGAGGTCGAGAGATTGAGACCAACCTGGTCAACATGGTGAAACCCCGTCTCTACTAAAAATACAAAAAATTAGCTGGGCATGGTGGTGCGTGCCTATAATCCCAGCTACTCAGGAGGCTGAGGCAGGAGAATTGCCTGAACCCAGGAGGCGGAGGTTGCGGTGAGCCGAGATCGCGCCATTGCACTCCAGCCTGGGTAACAAGAGCAAAACTCCATCTCAAAAAAAAAAAAAAAAGAAAATTAGCTGGGCATGGAGGCGCATACCTGTAGTACCAGTTACTCAGGAGTCTGAGGCAGGAGAATCACTTGAACCCAAGGAGGCTGGAGGTTGCAGTAAGTTGAGATTGTGCCACTGCACTCCAGCCTGGGCCCCAGAGCAAGAACATGACTCAGAAAACAGCAACAACAGCAAAACCACAGTGCTAGGATACACAGTGTTAGCCTCTACGCCCGGCCTAAAATAAGAATTCATTTTGCCTGGCTAGTCCTCTGCACAGGTCTGGGACACACCTATTTTTCAGCCTTACAGCAACCTTGCAAGGTAGGTTTCTTAATCCCCATTAGAGAGATGAGGAAATTCCAGACAGTGAGTACCTTGTCCCAGTGTCTAAGCCAGGATTTTAGCCTAAGCTTCAGGCCCCAGGAGGCCCGGGCCTGGTATCTGGCCCCTCCAGATGGGTCTGGCCAGGCCCACAGTCCCTCCCACGGGGGTCTGCATTCTCGACTGGAACGATGCCAGGGCGACTTGTGCCCATAAAAGGCTCCAGATGCACTGGCCCCAGCCCCGGGCGTGTCCCCAGGGACATTCTTGACCCCTGCACAGCTGGATGGGTCCCGGGGCCTGGTCGGGGGTGTCTGGCTTCAGGTCCCAACTGCAGCGCTCCACCTTCCGGGAGACTTCGGAACTGCAGGCAGCCGTGAAACCCGGTGTTTTGAGGACCTCTGACCCAGACTGGGGGAACCCCAAGTCCCTGCTGGCCACGCTCAGAGTGCCCCTGGAGGCCACACACATGGGAAACCAACCAGTTGGAACACAGGCACACTCGATCATTAGTTTTCTACAAAATTTTAAAAGCACCCAGTTTGGGCAGGCGCAATGGCTCACGCCTGTAATCCCAGCACTTTGGGAGGCTGAGGTGGTTGGATCACTTGAGTTCAGGAGTTAGAGACCAGCCTGGCCAACAGGTGAAACCCTGTCTCTTCTTAAAACATAACATTAGCCAGGCATGGTGGCGAGCCACTTGTAATTCCAGCTACTTGGGAGGCTGAAGCAGGAGAATCACTTGAACTTGGGAGGCAGAGATTGCAGTGAGCTGAGACTGCAGTGAGCCAAGATTGCACTAGGTCTCCTAGTGGAGACCTACTGCATCTCATAAAACAAAAAAGCACCCAGTTTCCCTTCCTTGCGGCGATCATAGTGGGATACCTGGGGGCCTTCCAGAGCTAGTCTGTGGATTCGCCTTGCCAAAATGAAATGTAAATACGCCTCCTGTCTTTTTGCACAAACTGATCGCTGTTCTGCATGTTGTTTTGTTGACTTAATAATATACCTTGATCGGACATGCTGGCTCATGCCTGTAATCCCAGCACTTTTGGGGGCTGAGGCAGAAGGATCGTTTAAGTCCAGCACTTGGAGACCAGCCTGAATAACATAGGGAGACCCAGTCCCTAGCAACGATGTAAAAATCATCCAGGCGGCTGGGCGAGGCGGCTCATGCCTATAATCCCAGCACTTTGGGAGGCCGAGGCCAGAGGATTACTTGAGGCCAGGAGTTAGAGACCAGCCTGGCCAACACTGTGAAATTCTATCTCCACTAAAAATGCGAAAAATAGGCAGGGCCTGGTGGCTTACACCTGTAATTCCAACACTCTGGGAGGCTGAGGCCGGTGGATCACTTGAGGTCAGGAGTTTGAGACTAGCTTGACCAACATGGTGAAACCCTGCTTCTACTAAAAAAATACAAAATTAGCCAGGCATGGTGGCACATGCCCGTAATCCTAGCTACATGGGAGACTGAGGCAGGAGAATTGCTTAAACCCGTGGAGGTTGTGGTGAGCCAAGATCACGTCATTGCACTCTAGGCTGGGCAATAAGAGCAAAACTCCATCTCAGAAAAAAAAAAAAAGCAAAAAATATTTGGGCATTGTGGCGGGTGCTGCCTGTAGTCCCAGCTACTCATGAGGCTGAGGCATGAGAATTGCTTGAATCCAGGAGGCAGAGGTTGCAGTGGGCCGAGATCATTTCACTGCACT